TCTTGCCTCCACCATGGCTCTTCACAGAAATTGTTCCCTGCAGTCAATCATGGAGGGCTGTTTTTGGTGATCAGATCCAGTGTTTGCTTCACCTGAGGGACCTCTCAGTTACAGACGTGGAAGTTCTACATCAATTCTGCCCCCTTGGTCCTGGCACAGCAATTGTCATCGGCCCGTGTACGCAGATAAAGCAATCCTTCCTTGGTCGGTTTTGCTCTGTACCTGTACATTATCAATGTAATCCATATCTTGGTACTTTTTCCTCTTGGGCTTAGATCATTCTCACCTATGGGAATAGGGCGTGTCTGCACTGTCATTAGTTATGACTTGATAGACTGTGAGGCCAGTCTTGTGCTACATGCAGAGATCATCGACACTCCGCTTACTGACCTCTACTCTCTGAGCAATTACGTCAGTGAAGTGTTGATTTCCGATTACCTACATGGTTTTCGAAGCGTTCTGCTCCTGAGTCCTTTCTCACCTTTGGTACGTTAGGGGAGATTGGTACTGAACGTTAAACTAGTTGAGCATCCGAACTATTCCCTCTTTCACCGCCTTCCAGCGTGTATCTGTGGGGGGTAGTTTCGAAGCAGGGACTGGCCAGATTAAGGTCCTCGACTTTAATTCACTGGGGTCACCTGATAAATCGTGGGGCGGCGGGGCCTACTTGCCAAACTGCGTCCTTTTGCTTGTCAAAAGTTGCGGCCGAAAACCACAATAATTCGGGAGCACCCACTCCCTAGAGTTTTTGTGCTGTGTAAGCCAAGGGGTTACATGAAGAAACCCATCTCAAGTTGGAGTTTGCATATCGGTAGTTGGTGCTTTCTCCTGGCCTCCTTGGGTTATGCGTTCTTCCTGGTGGTAGTAACGGGGTAATCTGCGACCCGCCTACCAACCGTGGGATTGTGCATACCGTGAGATAGGATAAGTTTAAAAATTTGTAAATTTTATTATAAATTGTATACAGTAGAACATGGATATAGCGAACACGGATATAGCGTACAAACGGATATAGCGAACAAATTTAAAAGTCCCGTCAACAGTCCTTTATAATATCATTAAAATTATACGCGAATAACGAACTCGTGAGTAGCGAATTAACGGCTATAGCGAACTGATTTACTACCCCCAAGACCCAATTAACGACGTGATTAGCGAACTCACTCAGTGTCAGCTCAACCACTTAGCGGTACAGTATACATCAATCTTGTTGGCGGTGAATCAACATTGATTGATGGTCATTAATTAATTAACAAAACAAACATATCGTGTTTAACCCATTCAACAACCGTTTTCGTTGACGAGGGTGGTATCCATTGCCGTAGTATGATTGGCTGCCTTAGGTCACATGTCTGATTTTCACCAATCACGATCCTTATAGCAGACTGTGGCGAAAAAGCGTCATTAAAAACCAATCTTTATCCAATAAAATCGCTTTTTACAACTGTGAAAATACTCTCGGCAAGGGTACAGTGATATTGTTGATGTTCCAGAGCTGTCGAACGATACCAGACACCACACGATTCGCCTCGCATGTTATTCATACGAAGCTTCGAAAACGGAGGTATTTCCCGGTGTTGTGTCATGTTAACGAACGGAAAGCCTGATTACATAAAAATGAAAATATAAAAGAAAAAGGCACGGGCATGTTAGGACATGTAACAAATGGAAAAAAAAATCGCTACAGTTTTTGCTTCTTTCGTGGTTTATCTGGACACTATAAATGTAAGCTTGCATTTTCATTAAAAAAATAAAATAAATTTATTTAAGTTGTAGTTGTATTATTTCAATTTTATTATAAAAATAAACTTCATATTTATCAACATGATATAGGTAATGTCTGTGAATGTCTACATCTCTACAATCCAAGATGGCGGTCAAATGTGAATAACGAACAACGGATATAGCGAAATTTTAATTTCTTGGTATCCGTGTTCTACTGTATTTATATACTTATCCTATCTCACGCGATAGGACCCACCCGACCTGCCCCACATCACAGATTACTAGAAGCTCCAAGACGAGAATGACAGGCACAGGTGGTCACATGATCATCTGAGCGAGCGGCATGCTTACAGAGATGATTGACAGGTGTTGATGTCGGAGTGAGGGCAGAGGTCAGGGCGGGTCAGAGGCCAGCAAGATTTGATTCAACTTAGCCTACAGCACGTTTCCACACATGGTCGTAGAAGAAGAGAAGGTGCATACAGTGAGATAGGATAAGTATATAAATATACAATTTATAATAAAATTTACAGTTCTTTCATGTAAAATAAAACAGAATTAGTTAATATCAATGTTTGAAAATATACACTTATTTTTCTGACATTGAAAGTTGTATGCTCAATCAGAGACCATATACCGATATATGGTCTCTGGCTCAAAATAGCAGTTGAAATATTACTCCATTATGAGACCTTTGGTTAACGATCTAAACAGGACAGAGTTACCACCCTTACATTATGCCGTAATTGATTCCATTTGATTCAGACTGGTTTCCTGTCTAGTCCCTAAGCAAAAGATATGTATAGTGATTTTAATCACAAGTATGTACAAAATACTCAAGATTCATTATAATTGAACTACAAGCAGTAGGATAGATTAATTGTGTGTATTTTCATTAAAAAACTTCACTTCAATGAAAATACCTGTACGTCATTGGCATTAGGCTTAGTAAGCGTCATGCAATGTATTGGTTTTTGCTTTATATAAAATATTATTGAACTGTATCAGCCTAAGCTATTGCATGACATGTTTGTTATTTTGATTTACTGATAACTAATGAGCATGCAATGAGTTGGCGAATATATCTATGATAAATGATGCCCAGTGTAAAATCTGAATCTTGCTTTGTTTATATTTCAAACAAGTGCTTTTTTCAGAGCACAACATTTGTTTTCACACCTGATGTATTTCACTTGGTACTGGTGACAAAGACCATGTGTCATTTTGTTGTAAACTGTTCAAGGATTTCAAGGAATCATGTATGTGTAATGTGATCTTACAAACACTCTGCAATATGGGGATAATGTTTACTTCAGCATATTTTCCAAATCATCATTAGCAATTCAGTTGAATTAGGGTCATCAATGGCATTTCAGAATGATCATTGGTGATTATCTAAAACATATACCCGAAATCACTAATAGGCCTTTTTGAAATCCAAATTTTAAAACTTATCCTATCTCACATTATGCACTTTCTCTTGTTCTTTTGACACTGGAGTGCAAAAACAACACTCTACCTGAACACACCCTGTCTCAATCTATTGTGCATGTGGTGCAAAGCCTGCATCTTGTTCAACCACATAACACCCAACTGAAGTCATTCTCTTTCATGTCATCTTATTCTTTGGGTGCAGACGTTCTATCGAAGAGAATTGTTTTTCTCTTAAGATTTTTGTTTTGATACAATAATTAACTTCCAAGAAATTTGCATGTATTGTCATGATTGGCAAAGAATGTTTTCTCCACCATGGCGCTCCACAGCAACTGATCCTTAACATTCAACATGGAAGGGTATTTTTGGAATTCTGAGATGGTTTTGGCATTCCATTATCTCCAAGACTTGCCAGTCTCTGATGCACAGTGGCTGCATCTGTTTGGACTGTTTCTGGTGCAGCAACTGTCAATGGCTGGACAATGCAGATAGACTGCCTCCCCAAACAGTTGTAGGATTCGTTACTCTCTTGTAATATACAGAATAAACAATGTAATTTGGAATTATCTTGTTGTTATTATTCCTTTTACCTCTTGCTACCTCTACTCTCATGAGCAATCACATTAGTGGAATATGAATTCGGAATCCTCCTGTACAGGAGAAGGATTCTAAGCATTCCGCATTCCTTGACCATTAATGGCCACTAGCTTTGGGGGGCAATAAGCAAGGTCACTGATGGGATAAAGACGGAACATAAAACAGAGACCTGACCGAGCTGTCCCACCTTACATCGCTAGCTGAGACCAGAGACCATATAATAGATCTATTATATGGTCTCTGCTGAGACCGAGGACTGAAAGGTTCTGGGGTCTGGGGTCTGGGGTCATTTGTCTTTTCACTAATGATAAGTTGAGAGATCACACAATTTGGGACTGCCCAATCCCCAGGAGTTTGTGTAAAGTATCGCTAAGGGTTTTTCTGAAGCAACCCAAGTCAAGAGAATGATGTCAGTTTGGGGTCACATGGTCAACCAGAGCAAGCCAGTGACTTTGCATGAGCTAACAGTGACTGGGCTGTGTTTGGCCAAGGTGTTAGAAGAGGCTGAAAACTTTGTTAAACGTCATTTCAACCCCAGGGACGTAAGAACATGAAAAGTTATAATGTGAGATATAGTCAAAATTTGGTATTCTCAAAGTGATTAGGTTTCAAAACATATACTTGATAATGCTGTGAATGATGATTTAGTAATGTGTCAAAAATGGCAGGATTTACGATGGGTGTAGTTTGCAGTAATGTTGCCCTCCCTGCAGTGAGTGGATGATACCAAAGATGAGTGAATTTCCCAAAGAATTCAAAACTGGGAAGTTTGTTTATGTCCGTGATGTATTTGGATATTTCAACTTAAAGTGAAGGTTGAAGATTAGGGACATATATTTTACGATTTATATAGGAAATGATCAAACTTAGAATGCTGGCACATTCTCCGATGGCTAGGTAGATCTAGTGCATAATCATATTGGATATTCCTGAAAAAAGATACTGTTAGAATGAGACACAATGTTAGATTGTTATTCAATTTTGAATAGTATGTTGCAATAGACTATCGCTATCGCAATAGTTGTTTCATGCATTTATGTAAATATGTTACATATTTGTATCTCTCTAGTATCTTTCCCCCCCCACCCCACCCCGACAAAAGTTAAAACTTCATTAATTTTAATTCTTTTCTGATAGACCTATGTTTGATTCCATGTGTTTTCTTTTGTTGATTACAAGTGTGTTCATTATTATGATAATGGATGTTTTGTCTTGTTTGACATGTTTTTATCTTCTTGTGCTAGAAGGATGTCTGAAAGTCCTGAATCAAGACGAAGCGAACAAAAGAGTGTGACTAGTCGCACATCCATCAGTGTCAAGTTGCCTTCTGCAAGTTCTGGAGATGGATACAAGAAAAGTAGAAGTCCAGATCGAGCCTCAACTGGTGATGGGAAACTGACACCACTGACTCCAAAATCCCATGAAAGCAAGTTTTCAGTTTCTCTTGAGGGCAGAGAGTATGTACACACTCGGCCAGCCCCTACACCAACAAGTGCAAAAACACTGTCCCCTTCCCCTATCCAGAGCCTCAGACATGGAGCCCACAATCAGAGAGAGTAAGTTCTTTGATTTGTCATAATCTGACAAACTATTTATCTTACCATATGTCTTAATGTTCTGTAACTTCATACAATTTTCTATATTCAAAAGTTGCAATGGATTTCATAAATATTGCATTTATCAAATAAACTTGAGTGTATCCATGGGAAACACATATTGTTCGTACATGTTCCTTCATATTACATTTTCTACACATGGACTAGCTGTCATAAGGACCTTGGATGGACTGTCATCCCTATCACAAAGTGGGAAGTGCTTGAGGAGGCAGACTGGCGTTATAGTCTGTTTGCAGTGAAAACGTACCGATGAATTTCACTTTAAACAAAAAAGTAAATCAAATAAAGTGAAATTGCGATTGTGAATCCTCATAATTTTACCTTGCCAACTGAACGTTTAAATCTCAGAATTTTATTCAACTTAGGATAAAAGTTGTTTAACAAACGATCAAAGTTTCAAATCGCTGTTATTGGTTTGTATTACAAGGGGGTACGCTCAGTAGTTGGAACAGTGAAACAAATGCACGTGCGGTGCGTGATGAGCGATAACTTAGGCCTCCATGGAAACCAACCCTTCTTGTTCTCAGGGTTTCATTTAATGTGCATACCCCCTTGTAATACAAACCAGTAATAGCGATTTGAACCTATGATTTTTTGTTAAACAACTTTTATCCTAAATTGATTAAAATTCTGAGATTTTAATGTTCAATTGGCAAGGTAAAGTTATAAGGATTCGCAATCTAATTCACTTTATTTGATTTACTTTTTTGTTTAAAGTGAAATTCATCGGTACGTTTTCACTGCAAACAGACTGCAGATGAAGTTATCAGTACTTTTGTGACAGTTCAAACCCAGCTTTAAAAATATAAACAAAGCAATGAAATATAGGGACTATGACAGTTTTACAAATAATTACTGGCAGGGGTGGATACAGCTTTTTGAGAAAGTGGGGGTGCACAGTTCATTTTCACCTGTTTTCACAAAGAGTTAAAATGGTCATTTATTAACTTTCAGGACAAAATGAAGTGGGTGGGGTGTGTGCACCCCTGCACCTCCTCTGGATCCACTTTGACAGGACCTTTTACTCCAAGGATAGCTTAAAAAGTGGAGGCCATTTTGTCAACAACAAAAAATTCTCATCTTCACACTTTGTATATATTATTAGTGTGCATGGTTGGCCTGTATGTTTTCAACACCATCTGTCACAGCAAGCCAGTAGCATTTGAGGATGGGGTCAAAATTTAATGATATGGCAGTAGATATTTTACATTTTTAAACTGATCTGATCTCATGTTGTGTACTTTGCCTTGTTCTTTCAACTGTAGAGTGAAAACAACCTAAACAAAGTTTCCAGCCTTTTGTAACAAAACACACTTGCTCCATCTGTTGTTGTAGGCAGTCACTGGCCAACCATGTGATACCCAACTGATGTTTATAGGTGCAGATGACTTGTTACAGATTGAGAATGTTCCTACCATCATGTAAATCTCTACAGAGGTTTCTAGATTGTTATTTTCACCTTTATTCACCTTAGAACTCATTGGGAAGGATGACTTATTGAGGAAGAGGAAGGTCTGCTCAATGTTCAAACAGACTTTATTGTTTCATGAGCCCCACTCATCTAGCAACCATTGCTCACAGATGTGTAGCTGAGCTATGCACTGCCATTCCTGCAATCTACAGGATGATAGCAAATTTGCATTCCATTGGAATTCATGCTCTCATCGGACCAGAGACAGAGAATACAAGTCCTGTTAACAGGCAAGAAATCCAAGTGCACCTCAAAGAAGGCTTGTTGTTTCATTGACGACATTCCAAGATGATCCTTCAAACACATTCCTCAGTGAGGATGTTCATCACTTCATAGTGGCAGCCATCACATTGTCCAATCCTCAGACGCCTGTCCTGTCCTGTCGATTCCATCTAGAGCAGTGGTTGTGAGGGATTCAGTTGATCTCTTACCACGGTTGGTCACTCCTGTCTCCGTCAGCTTCGTCCATCCTCGAGATTTGTCGATCCCTCCAGGTTTGTAGATGCCTCCAAAGTTACACAATCTTGCATGTTGATACATCATTTTCTTGGGGACGTTTTCCACTCCCTATTCCTCTGTAATGCCTGCGTGGGTTACAAGAGAGGGTAGCATTGAGATTGTGGATCCTTCCACCATGCAAATGTGGATTGTTGACAAGATTCAACTTCAGAAGAGTTCTTCAGCATCGGATCAATCATTTTTGTACTTGGGGTTTTCATGTACAAGGTCTGTCAGCCATCATTACATTGATTTGTTTGAGTGGCATTCTAGAAGGTGGTGGAATAGGGATGACAAGATTTTATGGATGATCAACTTCTTTATTTTGACAATGGCGACGTTTTGGTATAGATTCTTATACCGTTTTCAAGCATATGGGGGAATGAAGGGGTACACCAGTTTATATACAAAATAAGATAAAGAGATACCAATAACAAAGGAGGGAAAACAAAGCATCAAAGAAAGTTACATGATGAGCTACAGTAGCATGATGATGAGCTAAGATAACATAAATGAGATGAGTGGGATTACCATGACAATTAGTGACTGTAAGTTAATTAGGCAGAAGCCAAGGTGGTGGGGGATTAATTAGTGTACCCCTTCATCTATCTATTGACCACCACATGTATTGCGTCGTCATAGCATTGTGACGTCACGGCCAGAGTTAACAGTTACTGTTCAGTTTTACCTGATGATGGGGCCAGAACAAGCCCTGAAACGTACTCAAGAATAAAAAGAAGATGTAACCCAGAAAAAATCTCTATGTTTATTATGTTTTTATCGCGAAAACATCTGAGTTTCGGCCATTATGCATATTCCGCTGGAACTCACGTGACCTTTCTGCTCGTGACGTCATATGTGTCCGCCATATTGCCAAAGAACAAGCGCTACAGCAATACAAATCGTGTTGTTTCTGTCGTTTTTGTAAATGGTACGATGGTGTATTCCGTTGCCTGCGGGTGCACGGAATCATCAAACAATGGAAAGAGCCACCATTTCTTCCATTTTCCAAGTAAAGAGACAGATTTAGGCATGAGAAATGCTCTGATCATTCCAAGTCGGACGCATATGAAAGAGACATGCACACGTGGGGTATGAAATCCAAAAGCTGGGCTGAAGAAGGAAGAAGTACCCACGAGATTCATATATACTCCATCATTCCCTGTTACAACTTACTGTCAGTGGTAATTTTAACATAAATTAGATCAAAGTCAGATTGCCAGTCAAATTGCCCCCGCTACAAATTGCCCCAGCAAATTGGTCAAATTGCCCCGGAGTTTTGTTCAAATTGCCCCAGGGGGGTAGTCAAAATGCCCCAATTTATTTAAAATGATTAAATATAGGCCATAAATGCATAGTTTTGTCAACTTTGATATTATGTTCTTCATATAAAAGTATATACATAGTTATGAGTTTACTAATGGAACATTTATCAGAAATATTACTTCCTAATAACTTTTATATGAAGAACCTAATATCAAAGTTGACAAAAACTATGCATTTACGGCATATATTTAATCATTTTAGATAAATGTGACCAAATTAGAATGAATGACCAAATTTGCTGGGGCAGTTCGACTGGTACCCATGAGATATATGTTATCAAAATCAGTGAGAGATTTCATATAAGCTTGAAGATATTTCGCTATAACGTTCTATTTTTCCTTATCCTGACTCATGCTTAATTGCTTGTCTCCTTCTTTTTGTGAATGATAGTGGAACACTTGAATCCCCTTTTGAAGCTCCCTTCAAAAAAGCGGACGTAAAATCACTCACCCAGTGTTTTCTCCCGTTAGCTGTTTTGGCAGGAAACTGCGTCACATGACCCCACATGTTTTCACTCTCCCCTTCTTCGCCCTAGAGGACGGTTGTGAGAGCGCCTGGGTCCCCTATACGGCGTTATATCCTTATATATTTAGGCCTTTACTACTAAATTAGCTGTATATGGCATTTAGGATTGATATACCAACATATGGTTTGAATTTTTGTCTGAATTATCTGTTTATTCACATTGTTGACATGATTTTCATCTTGTTTACAATTGATGAAAACTTGCATTCGTTGCAGATACCGGTTGTAGGTTGCTGATCCGCATTTATTATGTCCTAATTGTACCTGTACATGTTCTTCCAGCTTTCGCTGTAAACTTTGTCAGCATTTATCTGAATTTGAATTGAATAATTATTTATATTCCATTCTTAGACGTGCCAAGGACAGGTCTAGACGGCTATTACAAGTCATGTCTAAACCGAGTGATTGCGTTGATAACCGTTTGTTGCTGTCTGCTGACATTCACCATTCCAGTGGTTTACTGAGTGCTTCTACGGAGCATGTCGCTGTGACTGATGGCAGCTCCGTCTCCAAGAAGAGGTCGTCTACATCAACTATAACCTAGGGCATCGTCCTCTCAGAAGAAGAAGTCGTCTGCAGACAAGACTCCGGCGAAGTCTTCACATGGGGCAGCGCATAATACGAGGTCCTTTGCTGCAGAGATCATCCCGGCAGACGAAGTAGACGTATATGGCGAGCCACCCATCCTCATTCCTGAAGTAGCAGTGACGAAGAAGGTGAGGTCTTCATCTACAGTAACATCAGCAGTCATCTCAGCGCAGTCAGACGTTCTGTCAACGCAGACATCAGATAGAGATGGCAGGTCTTCACAAGTGCAGCAGTCCTTGGGAGAAGCCTCAGTACTCTCAGATGCGTTGTCCGCAGTGCAGCAGCAGCAGCCGTCATCGCAGAGTTTCAACCCGGGTGTCTTCATGCAGCAGTTTACGCAGCAGATGTTGGACCTGATGGAACGGAGGTTTGCGCAGGACAAAGCTGCGACGAAGGCCCCATCTATAATGAACCTGCATGAAGGACAAGCAGCCTGCAGATCGCATCCCGCTGAAGATAGTAGCCTGCGTGAAGGAGGAAACCTACGTGAAGGATCACACACTCAACGATGTTCCACGACATCTTCACGAGA